GAAAAAACATATTTTAGACTTGGTAATATGGCTCTCCTCCATCTATGAGACAGTTTGTCATACTGTGGTGCTATGGTGCTGGATGCTATGTCATGGTATTTCAAATATCAGCAGGTTGACCTGGGGCGACAGGTTTCAGTAGACAGAGCCTCCAGACTAAAGACTAGGAAGAAAGGGCTGGTAATCTACTTCTGAAAATTAGCCAATGAGATCACAAGAGAACACTGTCCTATATAGTCCTGGAAGATGAGCCCCCTAGGTTGGAAGGCACTAAAAATACACAGTGACCACAACAGTGGATTCAAGCATGCCAAAGATCGTGAAGATGATGCAGGACCAAGCACAGTGTTGTCCTGTTTTACATGGAATCACCATGAGTGACAGCCAACTCAACAACCATTAACAACTGTCTATAGAGCCAGCCAGACCCTGGATTCCATCCTAGCTCCATCCAGCCAAGGTATAAGACAAGCCATCTCACAGGGCCTCTGTTTTCAAATATGAAAAATGGGAATACCAAAGCCTGCATGGCTAGGTGCCATGACGGTGACATATAACCTATTTATAAAGCATATAAAACAGAGTCTAGGATGCAGCAGAGGGTCACTAAATGAGTGTTGTTGTTATGTGCCGTCGAGTCAGACCCGACTCATAGCGACCCCTCCTTGGGTTTCTGAGGGAGTATCACTACGGAAGTAGATTGCCCAACCTTCCTTCTGAGGAGTGGCTGGTGGGTTTGAACCTCCAGCCTCCTGGTTAGCAGTCAAGTGCCTTAGGCACTATTTCACCAGAGACTAAATGAGTAGCTATGGTCAATATTAAGGATCACGCAGTGTTAGCATAAGCTGATTTCAAGTAAAGAATTTATCTACAGATGTTAGTAGTACTACATGGATTTGAAAGATTCTATTCTATAAAAACAATCCATTGTCTAACTCAAGCTGTGGTATTTTCAATTGCCTCATATGCATGTGAAAGCTGGACAATGAATAAGGAAGACCAAAGAAGAGTTAATGCTTTTCAGTTGTGGTGCTGGTGAAGAATATGGAAAGTAGCACGGACTGCAAGAAGAACAAACAAATCTGTCCTGGAAGAAGAAGTGCAGCTGGAATGCTCCTTGGAAGCGAGAGTGGCCAGACTTCGTCTCACCTTCTTTGGTCATGCAGTCAGAAGGGACCATTCCCTGGAGAAGCATATCATGCGTGGTAAAGTGGAGGGTCAGCAAAAAAGGAGAAGGCCCTCAACAAAATGGACTGACACAGTCCTGTAACAATGGGCTCAGATATAGCAAGGATTACGGGGCTAGTACAGGACCAGGCAGTGTTTCATTCTGTTGTACATAGGGTTGCTATGAGTTGGACCCAATTTGATGGCACCCAACAACATCAACAACATTCTATAAATCAATATATTATTTACATCTATGTTGACTCCACCTCAAGGGCTCTGTGCCATATAGTTTATGCTTGGTCTAATCGAACTACAAATAAACATTTCCATTTGGTACTGAAGACTGTCTTTTCACAGGTGATTTCACGTAAGCCCATGTAACTCAGATAACTTGCACAGTATCATAAAATAAATGGCACCTTAAAATGCTATTGCTTCCCACCTCACAAAAAACAAATGGCTGACCAAGCATATTTTAACTTTAAGCCAAAGAGTTATCAAATCTTTTACAGGATAAAATAACATTCTTGAAGTATTTCAGGGAAAGTATCTCGAGGCATTATCTTTAGAGCATATAACCATGCATTTGACCATCTTTAAAACCCTTTTTTTGAAAAGAACAGGTAACTAACAAACAGGTAATAATACTCAAGATAGTGACAGAGGCAATCTCCACGTTATCCAGCTACCAGACACATGATTCAACTGTGAAATTTTGCCAAGTTCATCTTAGCATATTTCCAACAACAACAAAAAGTGTGGACTTGAAATCATTTCAATGGAAATTATTAGCTCATAAAAGCAAAGCAGACTGTTTTAACAC